AGACAGATGGAGAGAGAGGGAGAGAGAGAGAGAAAAAGAGAGAGAGAGAGCGAGAAAGAGAGAGAGAGAGAGAGAGAGAAAGAGAGCGAGACAGAGAGAAAGCGTGTGTGTCGAGGGGGGATGAACTACGAACTCGAAGATAGACACGAGACGCGTACTGCTCACGACTGACATTTCAAACAAGCATTCCACGACGAGATACGCGTCGTCGTGGCGACGGGGCAGCCTGCTTCCGGCGTCTGCCGCACCCAGTAATCGAGAAATATTTTGATACGACGTGCCTCCGCGCGCGCGTGCCAATGTGGATGCCGCGCGCGTCGGAATGCGAAGCTACGAAACTGTCGATTAAATGGGAAATTTCTTCAGCTGGGAACGATTTCGCGTAGGGATCGCGTAGCCGTCGGCGTTTGCGAGAACGCGTGCATGTACGACTGAGCTAGAGGACTTACTGACGTTAGGTCAACGAGAAGGGAATGTATTGTGCTCCGAAGATAATATATGCATGCCGTAGTAGATAGGAGAAGGCGCGCGCGCGCGTGTTCTTTCTTGGAACGCGTCGTAAACTAGCGAATCGTTTTCGATCGAATTTTTTTCTTCGAAGGACCACAATTTTAACAAATCAAAATCAAATTGACTCGCTCTTTTTTTATGCATTCCGAATTCTTATTGTACGCGTGTAATATATTTATATTTACTAATTAGCCAATGAGCATCGATGAAATCAATGCATATCATGAAGTAGTCGCCATGGTAACAAGCCGAATGAACCTTGTTCACGAGGGATAGGGTGTGTATGCGGCCGGCTTATGTGGTTTCCTGGAGTGGAGCCCCAGCGGCACGGGGAAAGAAAGGGAAGGGAAGGGAGGAGGTCCCGCGTCATGAGGCGGTCCTACAATGATTGTGATGTTTATTCGTATATAGATGTTTCGTGGTGTGTACGCGTGTTTCGTGTTGTTCTGTGCCGCCAGGTGGCGCCAGCGTCTCGTGTGATGTAAACCTGAGCAGTAGGAGGGTGGCGCATCTATAGATATCCTACACTATACTACGCTATCCTATATATGTATATATATATATATACATATATGTGTGCGTGTATAGTATCATACGGAGGTTACCGCATTTTCGGGTCTCGGTTAAATAGGCGCATCGCTTAAATGACGCGTGTCTTTGAAAAACAATCCTCATGCGCGGTGACATTATGATCGGAAAAGAATCGGTGACTCCGCTCAATCGCTGACGTTTCCACGATCGCCGACCTGTCCCGATAGAGCGTGGACTCGCTCACTGTATGTGTGTGTGTGATACGTAGTAGTGTGTTGTATGCAATCAAGAGCGTATTAAGTATGATAATACTAAGAGTACGTAATGGAGATAGGTATGATCAAGAGTACGTAATGGAGATATCAAGAGTAATAATAGAGATATTATTCTGATTATCTCTAGATTCCTCTTTAGTATGTACTCTTGGTGACACTTGGTGACACTTGATGTACTCTTGGTGACACTTGATACGCTCTTGATGCTATCTGTGAGTGCGTGGGGTACGGTCGTAGGTGTGGGGCCGTGCCGTGGGATTGGTGTATACTGGTCCGTGTACGTGTAGACTCCGGTGGGGTGGGGGGGGGATTGGACATTGCAGGTCATTACATAGCATCTTTACATTCCTAGTTTATGCTCTCATGCATTCCGCTTACGTCGCGTCGCTAGAGCAACGGGCGTCTGGGAAGAGGCAGGGTGACGCGTCGCCAATGTGTCATGCGCGTGACCCCTGTGTCATGCGCGTGATCCCTGTGTCACGCGTGTCACCCCTGTGTCACGCGTGTCACCCCTGTGGCACGCGTGTCACCCCAGTGTCACGCGTGTCACCCCAGTGTCACGCGTGTCACCCCTGTGGCACGCATGTCACCCCAGTGTCACGCGTGTCACCCCAGTGTCACGCGTGTCACCCCTGTGTCACGTGTGTCACCCCAGTGTCACATGTTGCCCCCGTACGCGGGGTGACGGCACGAGTCGTCTGCTCTGCATTCTCAAAACCGACGACGGTACTTTTTTTCTACGAAATATTTACGTGAACGGGAGGGATGTCGTTCCCGTAGATTCTGATCATTCCGCCTTTTTGCCGAGAAACTCCAGTCTTTTATTTTTCGGTCGATTTTTCTGTACATAAAATTTTTTCTAAGTGGAATAGAGGCAGAGAGAGAGATAGATAGAGGACTAATGAACGCTGTTCTGTTGTTTCGTGAGAGCGTGGTCGCGAGGTCGCGCGATCGTTCCTCGCTCTCCTCTACTACTACTGTATACGCGCGCTCACTGCATTCCCTGTCATATCTTATATGCTGTCGTCGTGTGCGCGTGTGAATGATATCGCGTATCGTATCCTGATCAGGTGTGTGGCTTTTACATGAATCCAAAATACATAGATCGTACGTAATTACACGATTATTGTTGTCTGTTGTTTTCAGTGTTTTGGGCGTCACATGTTTATCAATTGCGTCTTGCGTGTGTGTGCGTGCGTGCGTGCGTGCGTGTGTGTGGGTGTGTGAGCGGGTGGGGTAGGCCTACATAAGTGTAGATCTAACACAGTAAAACATACAAGAAACAGAGTAAATGAGTGTTGATATCAAACATTGGGTAAAAAATGAACAGCTGGTAAACATACAAGAAACAGAATCGTGAATAGTTCCCATTTTAATGATAGAGTTGAGTCGTAGTTTTCCATTCGTTTTACTGTTCTATCGCTTAAAGAAGTCTAAGCTACGATAACATTTTATAAAAAAAGAGTTGTTTTTAAGTGATTTGAGAGGTGCTGAATTATTTCAGTGTTTACCACGTTGCTTGCAATGACTGTCACTAGATGTCTCTCGCACCTCAGTTCGTTTCTTGCGGTTGGTTCGTGTGAGTTGACGTAACATGACGTCATTATACGTCTAACAATGTCCATATTTTACATTTTTACATTAACACGTACGCACGTACGCACACACGCATACACGTACGCGTGCACGCACGCACGCGTGCACACACGCATACACATACGCGGGCACGTACGCGCGCATACACACACGCAACACATATACGCGGGCACGTACGCACGCATGCGCGCACATACACATACGCGGGCACGCACGCACACATACGCACACGCAACACATACGTTAGCACGCACGCACGCACGCATGCACACACGCATACACATACGCGGGCACGTACGCACGCATGCACACACACATTCACATACAAGCGCACATGGCTACACGACACGCACATGCACGCACTCCCGCACACACACGCGCGCACTTACATTCACAACACGCACGCACGCACGCACGCACGCGTGCATAAGTCGAGAGACTATAAGTAGATTTGAGAGAGACACGGTCCTATCTACCTTCGTACACATGTTTCAATCCGAGGCACGCGTGAGATAAGATGCCAGGCTATTGTATGTACATCTGCATCTAAATACAATAATGTAACCCAACAAGAGTAAGGTTTCCCCTACCCTACCACAAAGAGCTAAATAACAAGGAGCTAAATATAACAAGAAGAGGAAGCGCTGCCATATCTGGCCCAAATTTGGGTTCGGCAGAGACCCTAGAACAGATTAGGGTTCGATTGTCTCTGGGTTCGGTCTGCACAGCCGTTTCAGCTGATTATGGTCCATAGATGGCGCCCTTGAGGCGAAAAGCACACCTCCTCTCCTTGTTATATTTAGCTCCTTGCCCTACCCTACTCTCGTTGGGTTACATTATTGTATCTAATCTGCATCTACACCATAACACCGCATCTCCTAACGTAGTCACGTATAGGTGTCAGACCCGTGGCAACACGGCGCTACAGCGATATATCGATGTGATCTTGAGTCTATCAATAGTGATAGACTCCTGATGTGATCTTGAATACATCGATGATTATAATTATATCGATATACGTGCCTTAGTGACATCGATAGCAACGTCTCAATCGCACCTCGGAAACCCGGGATCGTTTCGGGTTTTCCCACGACCCGAGAACAGAGATTCCCGCTTATCTACGTTTTAACTAAAAAAAATAAAAGGTTCTTAAAGAGATTGTTTTTGCGATGAAAAAATAAACTGTGTTTCTGTCTCTCTCTCCTTCCTTACAGAGCTTTACTCTGGAAAGATGTACATTCACATAAAAGTCGTAGCGCGTGTATCTGCATAACTTTGTACACTTGTAACTTGTACACACACGCACACACACACGCACGTACGCATGTACGCGCACACACACACACACGCACACGCACGCACGCACGTGCGCGCCCACACACACACGCCCTACGATTTCTATCCATACAAGCTTAACAAACATCCGATTTCGCACCTTTTCATCCCAGAATCTACCTATCCGCCTGGACGAAATGACCGCGCCCATCTCTCTTGGATATTATTGCTAGGTCGGTCAAACTAGAGTAGCTTATATGCGTTTTTCACGCGAGAAATTGGAGACTTTGTTGCTGAACAGTGTTTTTAGAACGCGCCTATCGCAACGCTGATTGGCCGATAGATTCGCTCGTCAATTTACGTCCAGACGGATAGGTCGATTCGCGTACAATCGATTACCAATTAATAACGAATCAATAATTAATCTCATCCATGACGTCACGGCGTAGCGATGACGTCACGCCTATGCGTCGGAGAATCGCTTCTCGTCCAGTAGATCGACGTTCTGGAAGTGGAACTGCGGTCGTCTGCTCTCGACGACGGCGTCCATGTTGGCGAGTTTCTTCTGCGAGTCCGTCTGCAGCATGCTCGAGATCGTGTAGATGCTAGATGGCGCCACGTCCGACGCTGCGTCTGCAACACACGCGATCGATTACGTATACACACGATATCGTGACGTAGCGACGGATGGATCGGCACGAGGGGGCGCTGTGTCGATGGGTTGACACGAGGGGGCGCTGTCTGGGTAAATGGATGGACGAACGAGATAATTATATCTACAGCAAATCGCTGAATTTGTAAGAATGCGGGGTGGTTATTTTATCGCGGTGCTTTGGGTGTGAGAGGCGCCGTGATCTGCAGAGAATTAGCTAGTAGTACAATATAATATACACGCACACACACACGCGCGCATGCACACACACACGCACACGCACACGCACCCACCACACACACACACACACACACACACACACACACACACACACACACACACACACACACACACACGACACGACACGACACGACACAC